CCCCTCGTAAGATGTTTTGCTGTACCTTTCAGTCAATCACTATTACATGGCTCTGTGTTTGGAAAATTCTTCCAGATAGACTTGAACAGAAATCACCTTGTTTCCATGTGTCTGAAGACAAAAAGGTAGAAATTGCGTTTTTCACGTTTTCTGCATCTCTCCGCTTCCACCCATGCACACTTTCGGCCTTATTGCGAGACTTGAGGCTTTGACTGATTCGCATCGCATATCGCAATTATACCGCCTTAACTTAATGTTAATTCACTGTCATTCTTCTGCTTCTTCTGCGATCACTGGCGTTGTATTCAATACCCTTTGCAGCCCAGTCACCTTATTTCCACTTGAGGGAGAAGAATCGCTATTGTGTCTCCTGTAGCGACGAGGTCTTGCAGATTTCACTCGGCTCGAGGTGATCTGTTCTTTATTACCACAATACATGGCAGGATATCTGCCTGGAAAGGAAGCAGAGAGATCTGGGTTTCGCTTCATCAGATTGGGAGATATAGCTGCTGCCTTTGTTTCTGATCTCTTTGTAGTCTTAGAACTTGTGACTAACTCTTCAGGGGTTGACTGCATTGAATCTCGTCTTGTTTTGACAAGCATTACCAGGTTATCTGGATTCAACGCTTTGAAATCCGACCGGGAATACAGCGACGAAAAACGTCCTAGAGCAATAAGAGATGTCTCGGCCGTGGACCATCTTCTGCGTCCATCACTTGCCAAATATTGCCTTTGCATTGCTATCGAGTTCCTTCTAGAATTCCATCCCCTGGACGATTCCTTTGCCCCACGTGACCTTCCTTTGTCACATGGCTTCCCTGGGGTTCTTTTCTTTGCTGATGAGCGAAAGGAATGGGTTGCTTCTTGAGTCATCAAAGTGAAAAGCTTAGGTAACTGGCTTTGACTACAGGAAGCTCTCTTGCCGTTGTTGTCAATGGCCCTTTGGAGAATCATCTTTTGCTGTGTATCCGTTTTAGGAAATGTATTTTTTGCACCTTGCCAACCAACTCCGTCCAATTTGACTGACGCTTCTTGATTATTATGACACCTTACTGTCGTTGCTATGAGGCTGCTATTTTGTTTAGTGCCCTTATCAGCATTCTCTGCCTTGTTTACTAAACCAACAGTTTTCTTTTCAGGAAAGCCTTTTTCTGCGTTGTTTGACTCAAAATTGAACGATACAGACCTGAACAGTTGTTTAGTGTTCTCGCATTTTAACAATGGGGCAGATTTTGTCCTTCTTCCAAGAAACTTCTCCTGAGGCATAATTTTCTCGAAATCAGGAGTAAAACGCGTGAAGGTTCTTCCTCGGTTTGTGAAGTCCTGTCTACTATTAATTATTGATACAGTTCTTGACCTTCCATGGTAATCTTTAATTTGCTTTCGACTTAGGCCTTCCCTCGAATGGTCGTTTTTAATTCTTTCCATCATATTTCCAATCTTTGCTTCATCTTCATTTTCTTTCTCTTCTTTCTCTTTCAAGTACAACTCCCATTCTCTAGCATTGAGTTTTAAATAAAAATCTCGAGCTTGCGGTGATGCTTTGCCGTCGTTTACCAACACTTCTCTACAGGCATTGTGCTTGAGTTTCATGGCTCTAATCAGAGGCGTTTCTCCATTGCTATTTGCTTTATCAGCAACACGGACATCGTAGATATTCATTGCTTCAGTGAGAGCTTTCGTAATACGAGAATTCCCAGCCTCAACTGAGTAAATAAGAGCGGTATTTCCGTTATTATCCGCAGCACCGAAGTCGCATTCTCCGCTCTCAATCAGCACCTGGGCGAGTTTCTCCTTTCCCAGTTTGCAAGCTTGCATTAAAGGGTCCATTCCTTGAACATCTTCCAAGCAGACGTCGGCCCCTCGATGTAAGAGCTTTTTCGTGATACAGCAAGCCAAGTTTTCGTCTTCCAAGAAACACACTGCCAGAAGAGGAGTTTTTCCAGAGAGTTTCTCCTGTTGGTTCACATTGTCACCAAGTTGCAAGAGTAATTCTGCTTGTTTAAACCGCTTTTGTTCGATAGCTTTCACCAAAGCTGCCATATTTTCAGAAATTTCTCAGCTTTGGATGGTTGTCGTAGATGTAAATTGATTGTAGATGTTCCAAACTGTATTTAATACCTCCTTCTGAGTATACTTTACCGGAAATTTCGAAAGTTCATTTGTTATCACAACAATCCTTGCCAGCGAAAATTTCCCCGACTTGTTCTGTCTGTTTTAACCGGCTCAGTTTCGCTCTTTTGCGAATCAACTAGCTAACAAATCAAAGTTATTATTTGTCACTAAATTTTTAACTCGTGTTCCTTGGAGCAGTTTGCATCAAACAAAACAAGAAAATTAACTACAACAAGTTTTCGAGAACTGAAACCATGGCAACCAATTGTGAAAAGCAGGTGAAACCCGAAATTAACTTCAAAGAAATATTTTCGTAGAATACAATTATGTTGATGTTAGACAACTTGTCGTAAATTATTAAAAACGATGGATAAAACAAACAAGTAATTCTGCATGATTCTTGCTTCCCATTTTCAGAATGATTACAAGGCTTTTTACAGTCTTTACAGAGTAAAGTCGATTTCGAAAGCGAACCGTTATCATCTCGAGCTCTAAGCATAACATCTGTTAAATTGTCCTAACTGATTCCCTCACGTTTCTCTTAGCTTTAGTGTGAGTTATGATTAAGAGTTTGGTATGACAATAGACATGAAAGTCATTTGTCGGCAAAATACTTTACACTAACTTATTTTTCTTAAAGCGATAAACTGCAGTGTACCATGAATTATTTTAGCGAAGCAGGAGTTATCTCGGTAATACTAGAATCACTGTACACTGATTGAACATAATTCGCACGTAAGGTGGTCGGACATTTTATCAGTTGATAACCTACGACAAGAGCTGAGATGAGGGGTAAGAGAATTAATGGCCCATATAGGACGGGGTTATCCCCCTCAACGCAAGTTATTTCAAGTTAGATAACTCTCGGTTTAGGAAACCCCAGAAGAGACTAAATGTCCTTAGCCCTCGCATCCGGCACTTTATTGACATATGTCGGCAAAATCCATGAGCATTTTACCTGTGCGCAAGCGAGCTTGCCATGAATTCGTGTAGTTGCCTCTAAATAAAATAAAACACTCGCGACAGGTGAGCATGACTCAGCCAGTCCAGCTTTGCATCCAAGCATGTCCCCGTCCCGATCGCTTTGCTCTCCGAATTCTTCTGTTTCGTGCTTGCCAAATTTTTTTTCCGTCCTCGCCGGGAGCCTGTTCGCAGGCTAGCGATTACTTTGCCTACAACTGAGGTTACAAACTGTACAAATCCCGACACCATTTGATTAAACGCCTCAAGAATCTTGAACGCCTTGAACTGCTTGTTGGTGTACAAGCTGGTCTCAAGAACGAAGTAACTCAGCAAGTCCGAGACTTGCACAGGAGGCAAACATTCTGGACTGAACTGCTTGATGTTATGCTTGCAGGGTCAACCCCGATGACCGAGATCATTTGCGAATATCTTTCCTTTACTCGACTCTCTAAGCTTTTGGCATACTCAGAGATCACTGGGATACCTTTAGATGAATGCCCGGCACTTTTATCGTTTTTTTTTTCTTTCTGAATATTCATGTAGTTGGCGAAATAATAGAGCGATAATAGAGAAACTTCACTTTAGAAATGGACTATTATTAGCATAAATTTGACACCCGAGGAACACCAACATGGCGGACACTGATTTGAGCAAAGCTTGTGACGTCACATGAAACCCAAGAATTGGACTGGAAGTCTTATTACCAATTAATCATAAAAATTGCAATTTCCAAGAAAAAAATAGCCAAGTTATGAAAGAAAGGGAAAATTAATTCGCATTAAAATACCTACAAAGGATATGTAAACATTCTAAGGCCACCGCGCCTCCACCGGCGATCAGGCGCCAAAAACAAAAAAGCGCACGCGCTCACGCACGCACGTAACTACAACTTTGAATGTGATTGGTTGATTTAAGGTCATTCCCCAGTATTGCATCGCGCATCCCTACTGCGCATAATTTCACGCGTGATTAGCGCGCGCGCATTAAAAAAAATGGCGGCCTCTTCTTTGCGCCTGGACCTCGCCATAGAGGTAAATCGTCATTTTCTCGAAAACGAGTACGGTGACCTATCATTTTTTTTTCTGTTGTGTTAAATTGAGTAATAAATTTCTCGATGTAAAATAAATATGGGCCAATTCTCAGTGTTGAGCAAGAAACATTGAATGGTCAGAAACGTGAATTTAGCAAGCAATCGTGACTATAATC